TTAGGCCTAGAGAGGCGTAAGAGTCAGGTGCACCCAGCGATGCAACAACAGGTGATGAAGATAGAGTCCTCCAGGGTTTTGTGGGTCACTGTACTTAATGGCAAATCCTCGTGCTACCCTGGCCCTTGTCCAGTTTTTAAGGTTTGCTGCCAGCTCTTTCTGACCACTCTGGCACATACCAGAAGGCAAGCCAAGCTGCAGTTTTACGTAACAATAACCTTGGCCATGATCTCTGTGCTTGTCCTCCTTAAACTGGCTCTGGCCTTCACCCTGTGCCTGCAATGCTCTGCTCTAGCCATGCTGTTGTTTTTATTGTAAAGTCAGATATACAGAGAGGAGGAGAGACAGAGGAAGATCTTCTGTCTGATGATTTACTTCCCAAGTGACCACAACGGCCAGTACTGTGCCGGAAACCAAGAATTTCCTCCAGGCCGAGTGGGGCTGCAGAGATTAGAACTGGCACCCACGTGGAAACCCGGCGCATTCAACGCATTCAAGGCGAGGACTTTAGCTGCTAGACCAGTGCTCTGGGCCCAAGTTGAGGGCAAATTTTAACATAATAACATCAGTTGTTACAGATTCATAGTGCAGGCAAAATGCCTGTCACAACAATGTTGTGGGGGCTCAAAGCTGATGACAGTGCAGCGACAGTGGCACACTGCCAGCATTGGGCTGTCCCCCTAAATTTCCCACCAGCTGAGGCAGGAGCAAGGTTAATAAGAACAATCCAAGGACAGCCTCAATCAGATTGATTTGCAAATCTGTGGCATCTCCCTGCTTGGCCAAATTGCAAACAGGCTGCATCTCACATCCCTTCCATCCCGAATGGAATTCACTTGTACTTCCCTGAGCCCAGATGGGGTTCAAAGTCACTCTCCTATGAGTCAGAGGAGTCCGGCTCTGAGAAGGTTCAATTCCAGGTTTCAGATTCTGAATTTTTTGCAAGTTTTGAAGCCATTAGACTCATGGCACAGTGAAACAATGTAATTACAGAGTACCTGTGCTAGGAGCTCTGAAAAAGCAGAATTTGTCTAATACAGAGACTCATTTAAAGGGAGAAATTTCTTTGTACACAGGGGCAGAGAAAGAGTATCACAGGGTGGGGGAGGAGGCAGCAGCCTAGTAAGGGGGACAATCCTTGATGGAGAAGTCCCAAATGAGGCCCAAGGACCAGGCAGGCAGCGACCTGATGGGTCCTGTGAGTCTGTTCCCGGGATGTTCTGAGTGAGTCACAAAGATGGGAGAGTGGGCAGAGGGGGGACTCACCCAAATTTACTTGATTTCTTGAAGTCCTGAGGTCTTAAAGTCTCTGCTCTGGCTTGAGGGTTAATTCCTGCCAGCAGGCCACAGTGTTCTTTGCTGGAGGAACCAATCCCCAGAGACAGGCTGGTGAGGAATGTCTGTTTATTCAGCACAAGTTCCAGGTTTATAAAGGCTAAGAAAGGGCGGGTAGGAGGGCGTTTTCAGGTAGTCCCTTCACCCAGTGATGACATTATGATTGATGAAAAGGCACAGCTAATTGTACTTGTCCTTAAGAAGCCGAGGAACTGTAGATTAGATTAAACAAAACCAAGTTCTCTAAGAACTATTCTTGTGCTCTTTGATTCTTCCCTCTCTTTCTTCATTTTCTGGTTCTTTATCATTGTATTCATCAGCTGGTTCACTGCCACTGTCTGGCTCAGGTTGTTCTTCCAAATGTGAAGCTCTGGAATTCAGATAGTGTATTTCTTTAATTTGAGAGTAAGGATTAATACATCACTCTAAGATGAGACGTTTTATTTGTAACCTTTTATGATTAAGTACTGTAACAACAGAAGGAAGATAATGGCTTCATCTTCCTGGTTAAAAACTGATGCTGGTTAAGAAACCAGCTTCTTCTCCATATGCAATTCGCTTCTTACTATTAAAAAAAAAAAGCAGCAGCAGCAGCAGCCAACCTCTCTCTGAGGAAACAGTCACTGCACGAGAATGCATATCAGCCAAATAGGTTGTCTAAAAATAAAAATGGCTTTTTCCTTTTCAGTTATGAAACATTAATACCATAATCTCTCTGGCTTTTAAATTTGAAGGTTTTCTTTTTTAGTTTTTTAAATTTAAAAAAATTTTTTATTATTTCTTTTTATTATTATTTTATGATACAGTTCCATGGACCCTGGGATTTCCTTTATCCCCTCCCCAGTTTTCTCTTTTCCCTTCATTGTTTTAATTATATAATTTTAAAATTACATAAGTTTTAAAGTATATATTCATATGCCATTTTCCAATGAATTTGCAAGATCCCAGTGTCATTTTGTTTCCAAATCAATTTGAGTGATTTGGAAAGCTATAAAACAGACACTTCTGAAAACTTCAAGATAGACACTTACATCTTTGAAACACACTAACACTTCCGAAAAAGGGGAAAAACTTAAAGCTTGCTCTTCAGGCTACATGAAGATGATTCTTGGTCTGATGAGAAATAGCAAGATGCTACAGAAACTGATGTTATGATCAAGAACAACATAATTTACAGAGCCTTCAAAACCACAAAACAAATAAACAAACGAAAAGGAAAATGTTGAAGAAAGGACACCATTTTCTTCCTACCAATGGCTGATTTTTTGCTCACCTTCGTCACCCTGTACAGCTGGTATAAAGAGAACCTATTTCACCACCACTACCAGAAGAAGACCTAGAGATCCTATTATGAGTAAAAGACAAAGCTTAGAAGGATGTAATCAGAAGTGCTTGGATCATTCAGGGTCCCCTGCAAACGTTGTTAGTTCTTTTTTTTTTTTTTTAAGATTTATTTTATTCTTATTACAAAGTCAGATATACAGAGAGGAGGAGAGACAGAGAAGAAGATCTTCCGTCCGATGATTCACTCCCCAAGTGAGTGCAACGGCTGATGCTATGCCGGTCTGAAGCCAGGATCCAGGAACTTCTTTTGGGTATCCCACACGGGTGCAGGGTCCCAAGGTATTGGACCATCCTCGACTGCTTTCCCAGGCCTCAAGCAGGGAGCTGGATGGGAAGTGGAGTTGCCAGGATTAGAACCGGCGCCCAAATGGGATCCCAGGGCGTTCAAGGCGAGTACTTTAGCCGCTAGGCGCCGCCAGGCCCAAACCTTGTTAGTTCTACTTCAAAATGACTTTGCATAGTGAGAACCAGAAACACCATGGAGGCTTAGAGTAAAAATTAGTTTATAGTAACCCTGGGAGCACTGATACAAAGGCAACATGTATAGGCTTAAGAATGTATCCTTATGGCCTTTGTAGAATCAATAGTGATTTAAAAAAAAAAAAGTTTGCTTTTATTTGAAAGGCAAATTTTACAGAATAGAGGGAGAAAGAGAATGAGAATATCTTCCATCTCCTGCTTCATTGCCAAATGACCACCATGGCTGGAGCTGGACCATTCCAAAGCCAGGAGCCTGGATTCTGTCCTGGGCCTCCCATGTGGATGCAGGGACCCAAGTACTTTGGCTATCCTCCACTGTATTCCCAGGGACAGCAGCAGGGAGCTGGATCAGAAGTGAAGCAGCCAGTGCCCATATGTGATGTAGGCTGCAGACTGAGGCTTAACTCACTATAGCTCCGTGCTAGCCCCAGTGTTAATCATTTAAAATGGTAGTTCCTATTACGTGGTAAAGTTTTGAAATACACCACAATACAAGATAGCCACTACCCAGAATCCAATATTTGTATGTTGTCAAATAGCTCTTAAAGTATCAGTTAGGAATTAAAATGTTCCACAGGGCCCGGGATGGTAGCCTAGCGGCTGAAGTCCTCACCTTGCACACACTGGGATCTCATATGGGTGCTGGTTCTAATCCCGGCAGCCCGGCTTTCCATCCAGCTCCCTGCTTGTGGCCTGGGAGAGCAGTCAAGGACGGCCCAATGCCTTGGATCCCTGCACCTGCGTAGGAGATCCAGAAGAAGCTCTGGTCTCCTGGCTTCGGATTGACTCAGATCCAGCCATTGCGGTCGCTTGGGGACTGAATCAATGAACAGAAGATCTTCCTCTCTGTCTGTCCCCCTTTATGTACATCTGCCTTTCCAATAAAAATAAATAAATCTTTCAATAAAATGTTCCAGGCCCAGAACAATAGCCCAATGGCTAAATCCTCACTTTGCATGCATGTCCCGGCTGCTCCACTTCCCATCCAGCTCCCTGCTTGTGGCCTGGGAAAGCGGTGGAGGATGGCCCAAAGCCTTGGGACCCTGCACATGGAAGATCTGGAAGAAGCTCCAGGCTCCTGGCTTCGGATTGGCCCAGCTGTGGACATTGTAGCCACTTGTGGAATGAACAATTGGTTGAAAGATCTTTCTCTCTCTCGCTCTCTTTCTCTCTGTATATCTGCATTTCCAATAAAAATAAATGTTAAAAAAAGATTGTAGTCTCACACAGCAAGCTATTATGCTGGCATATTTCTTTCCTTGTTAATTAATTTGAAAATGATTAATGATGAAGCTATCTACATCCCTAACAACAAAAAACACCGTGATAAAATTCAAAGCACATGGGGCAGGCACAATGATTCAACTGGCTAATGCTCCTCCTGCAAGCGCTGGCATCCCATATGGACACTGGTTTGTATCCACGATGCTCCACTTCCGATCCAGATTCCTGCTCATGGCCTGGGAAAGCCGTGGAGGATGGCCCAAGTCCCTGCACCCAGAAGAAGCTCCTTGCTCCTGCCTCTGAAGTCACTTAGTGACAGCTGTTGTGGTCATTTGGGCAGTGAGGCAGAAGATGGAAGATCCTTCTCTCTCTTGTTTCTCTTCTCCAATAAACAGAAATAAATCTTTAGAAATTTGAAGCACAATGGAAGGAAATGAAATGGTTCCATTTTGGGGGGAAGTCTGTCTTACATCTAAATGTTTCTTTTTCCTCCCAATGTTTTTACCCTCCACTGAAGATTGAAAATTACCACATGATAAAGCTACTATAGAAAAGATGGAGGGACAGTTTTATCTTTCGGCAGTGCTAGCTATTCTTGTTTGTTTTCTGGAGAGCAATCATGGAAGACAACTTCGGGATACTAGGATTCTCTTGTGAAGTTCTGTTTAGCAACATTTCTATTCAATTAAGTAAATGAACGTAGTAGTGCTTCTTTTTCACACATACGTATTGTAGAAGGATTAACTATTGCTTTGGCAATAAGAACTTAAGGAGTTCTCTAGGCGTGCAGTTACTGATTAGGACTCTTGGTGTCGCTGTTCACTAATCTGGGCGATACCCGCAGTGACGAGCACGCCGAGGGGGAGGAAAAAATACTCTTGAGCCTCCTGAAAGCTCCAGCACCGCCGGGTTAAAAAAAGAAAAAATGTTTCCGTGAAACCGCCTAAATCCTATTCCTGGACGATTCTCCGATCGGAATTATCCTGAAATCTAGACAACATTAGAAAAGCAGAGAAACACTCCCTCTCTGTGCCGGACTGAGAGAGAACTACGAAGCAAGAAAAACAATGGGAATTCTGGCACAACCAAGCGGGTGGAGAGGGCTGATGCTGCTGTGCCTTTTCCTGGGGCTGTTGCTGGAGGTCGGGGCCGAGCACATCCGCTACTCCGTGGCAGAAGAAACGGACGAGGGCTCCTTGGTGGGCGACATCGCTAAGGACCTGGGGCTGGAGCCGCGGGAGCTGGCGGAGCGCGGAGTCCGCATCGTCTCCAGAGGTAGGGCGCAGCTGTTCGCTCTGAACGCGCGCAGCGGCAGCTTGGTCACGGCGGGCAGGGTAGACCGCGAGGAGCTCTGTGCCCAGAGCGCGCAGTGCTTGGTGAGCCTGAACATCCTGGTGGAAGAGAAAATGAAGCTTTTCCCGGTCGAAGTGGAGATACTTGATATTAACGACAACACTCCCCAGTTCCAGTTGGAAGAGCTAGAACTGAAAATGAATGAAATCACCCCTCCAGGAACCAGGATCCCTCTGCCTTTTGGGCAAGACCGTGACGTGGGTAGAAACTCGCTGCAGAGCTACCGGCTCAGCTCCAACCCTCATTTCTCCCTGGATGTGCAACGGGGACCTGATGGGTCGCAGCACCCGGAGATGGTGCTGCAGAACCCGCTAGACAGAGAAGCCGCGGGTGTCCACCACCTGGTCCTCATCGCCTCGGACGGGGGCGACCCAGTCCGTTCAGGGACTCTCCGCATTCGTGTTCAGGTGGTAGACGCGAACGACAACCCTCCTGCATTTACCCAGGCAGAGTATCATGTAAGTGTCCCTGAAAATGTGCCCCTGGGGACTCAGTTACTCGTGGTAAATGCCACCGACCCAGATGAGGGGGCGAATGGGGAAGTCAGCTACTCTTTTCACAACGTAGAGCACAAAGTGGCCCAGATATTCCATTTGGATTCCAACACAGGAGAAATATCCAATAAAGAGCTGCTGGACTTTGAAGAATACAAAATGTATCCCATGGAAATTCAAGCTCAGGATGGTGCTGGGCTCATGGCCAGAGCCAAGGTGTTGATCAGAGTCCTGGATGTAAATGACAATGCCCCAGAAATAAGTGTCACCTCTGTCACGTCCGTACTCCCAGAAAACTTTCCCCCTGGGACCGTCATTGCTCTCATCAATGTGCATGACCAGGATGCCGAGGACAATGGTCACATCGCATGTTCCATTCCTGGAGACCTGCCCTTTAAACTGGAAAGGCTGGTGGATAATTATTACCGCTTAGTGACAGAAAAAACGCTGGACAGAGAACTTACCTCTGGGTACAACATTACAGTGACAGCGACGGACCAGGGGACTCCAGCTCTGTCTACTGAAACCCGTATTTCGCTGACAGTGGCAGACATCAATGATAACGCCCCAGACTTCCATCAGGACTCCTACTCTGCCTACATTCCTGAGAACAACCCCAGAGGAGCCTCCATTGGATCCGTACAGGCATTTGATGCTGACAGTGGAGAGAATGCACAGGTCACTTACTCCCTAGTGGAGAACACTGTCCAGGGGGCTCCTCTGTCTTCCTATGTGTCCATCAACTCTGACACAGGTGTCCTGTATGCACTGCGCTCCTTCGACTATGAGCAGTTCCGAGACATGCAGCTCTGGGTGACAGCCAGTGACAATGGAGAACCACCACTCAGCAGCAATGCCTCCCTCACCCTCTTTGTGCTGGACCAGAATGACAATGCCCCTGAGATCCTCTACCCCACCCTGCCCACCGATGGATCCACAGGCGTGGAGCTGGCACCACGCTCTGCAGAACCTGGCTACCTGGTGACCAAGGTGGTGGCAGTGGACAGGGACTCTGGCCAGAATGCCTGGCTGTCCTACCGGCTGCTCAAGGCCAGCGAGCCAGGGCTGTTCTCTGTGGGGCTGCACACGGGCGAGGTGCGCACAGCACGGACCCTGCTGGACAGAGATGCACTGAAGCAGAGCCTGGTGGTGGCCGTCCAGGACCACGGGCAGCCGCCTCTCTCGGCCACTGTCACGCTCACAGTGGCCGTGGCCGACAGCATCCCCGCAGTGCTGGCTGACCTGGGCAGCCTGAAGCCTTCAGTGGAAGCTGATGAGGCAGACCTGACTCTGTACCTGGTGGTGGCAGTGGCCACAGTGTCGTGTGTCTTCCTGGCCTTTGTGATTGTGCTGCTGGCACTCAGGCTGAGGCGCTGGCACAAGTCGCGATTGCTGCAGGCGTCAGGAGGAGGCGGGCTGTCGGGCGTGGCCGCGTCGCACTTGGTGGGTGTGGACGGGGTGCGTGCTTTCCTGCAGACCTATTCTCATGAGGTGTCCCTGACCGCGGACTCGCGGAGGAGCCACCTCATCTTCCCTCAGCCCAACTATGCGGACACGCTGCTCAGCATGAGCCAGGAGAGCTGTGGGAAAAAGGATTTCCCTTCCACACCGCAGTCTCTAGTTGAAGACAAGAATGACACAATTTCTCAGGTAAATTTCCTTAGCGAATTTTTAAGTTAAATTGTGAACATGCACAGTGTCCCTTACTGATCTTCACTCTTCCTGTCACTCTTGACTACAAACACTTCTGCGCCTTCCACTCTTACAGATTTCTGTTATAAGTCGTGAAAGCCATGGTTGTGTGGATTTACATGCGTAGAGGTATTTGTCATTGTGGTGAGATTGAAAACATGATTATAATCTTACTGTAGGTGGCTGAGATGGAGAGTGGGAGTGAGGCGCCCTTATTTTTCGAAAAACAACACAGCGTTAGGAACCAGGAAGTCTGGCTACTGATATTTTTTGCTCGTATCTGGCTGAACTCTTTCGTTGCTCTGGCTTTTCTGTCCTTGTATCTGGTTTGAATAGAGGAAATCCTACCAGCCTTTGTAGAAAAAACGTATTTCCAAGTTGCTGGAAGTTATAGAAACCTGCTGATTAATCTCTAAAGTTCATGTAGATGCCATTTGTCAGCGTGCTATGCTGTTTTATTTGGGGTCATTTAAAGAGATGAAGGTATAAACTAGTATTTTTGGTCATGTTGCCATGAAATTATAGCTATAAACTCAACAATTGAAAATTGTTGCTGAAGTTGTAGTTGTTCATTTAGTCTTTTATTGTGAGATATTTTACGTGTGGCAAAGATTACATCTGGGTAATTCATGCGTGGAAGTAACAAAATGAGCAGCAGATTTATCATGCAACTTTAGAAATAATTTTGAAGCCTCCTGATATATACATTTCTGTCATGAAAAGGACTAGCAAAATCCAAGAACGTACTCCACTTTAGTGTATATTCGCTCTGCCCAAGAAGTGATGTGTCATCGGGTGGAAGCCTTAGTTAGATCTGTTTACTCTGATAAATTACAGCAATGCATAAACAGAAAAAAGAAAGCAGAAGTAAGGGTATGTACAAACAGAACATAAATATTGAAACAGATCAGAAAGCAATGGGTAGGTTGGAGGCCATGGAATTCTTATCTTGAATTTACAGACAGGAATGGAAGGTCAGGAGACTGTCTTGCAGGGTGCCTGCGACGGAAGTATTTCCAGCTGCAGAAAGAACCTGTGCTCAGCTTATTGACTGGAACCTAAATGTTGTGACATTTGTCATGTGGTCTACAAACGGAAAGTTGCCCTAAAAGACTATCTAACCAATTCTGGTGGTGTTTATTCTCCTTGAAGACTGGAGTTCAGGGAAGACAGGTGCACACAGGCACTGGCTGCTGGCAGTGAATGCTTAGTGTGTCACATGTGAGCTTGGGTATCCAGTTGCACACCATTTGGAGACTTAGCTATGGCCTGGAACCTGTGGTCAGATAGAAAGTCCTCCAAGACCATTAGCAACAGAACCTGAGAGGAAGTGAGACAGAAGAGAGAGCAGATGAGAACAAATGAAAAAAAAATCTCTACACTTAAACCTACAAATGAAGACTGTAGGATACATTGTCTTCTGAAATTTACTGTTGCTGTTGAGAATTTTTTCCATCAACAAGTTGTTACTATTTCCTAAGGTATCTCTGTTTTCCCTCTGATATGATGATTTTTCCATGATTTTCATCATTTGTGTTGTGTGTCTACTGAATTTGGTGGAAGCTGGGGGCTTCCGCCAAGAGTACACAGTGGATCAATCATTTCAGTTCTCTTACAGTATATATTTTTCTTCTCTTTACACACAGTTGAGTTAACCTATTAAAAGGCAGAGATTGCTAAATAAGTTGGTTTTAAAGTCCATAGTCTGCTGGCAAAACATAGGCTCACACCAAAGTCAGCTTGCAATACTGAAATTAAAGATATAAATAAACATACTCAAAATAAAATGGTCATGCAATATTAATATAACAAAGTAGTACCTAAGGCAACATTTTGATTTGCATAAATTAACTGATCCTAATTAGAAAAACAGATAAAAATCAAAAGATATAAAAATAGCAGCTTCTATTACCTAAAAATAATGCCATAGAATTTAAACATCGTTCATAGATATGACTTGAACAACGGAATCTATAAGCTTACTCTACCTCTTAAGCTGGCAGTTAAAACACTCACTAAGATGCCCACATCTCATATCTGAGTGACTGAACCTGATTCCTGGCTCTGGCTTCCGGTTCTCACTTCATGCTAAGGCAGTAGTTATTGCTCAAGTGGGTGGGTCCCTCTACCCTCATGGGAGATCTGACTGGAGTTGTTCCCTGACTGTGGCTCCAGCCCAGTTGTCCTGCCTCAGTCCCTGGCCATTTAGGTTACATGGTGAGTAAAATAGTGGATGGCAGCTCTGTTTCTATTTACCTGTTTGTCAATCTCTCTGCTTTTCAAATAAAGGGGGAAAATAAAAGCAATAAAAGGAAAACAAAGCAAAAAAATATTTGGATACTTAAATCTATATTCCTAAGTAATTCTTAGATTTAGGAAATCAAAATACTGATGAAAACTCTTTAGAAATGAAAACAAAGTTTAAATATTTGTGGAATGTAGCAGGACAGTATTTGAGTAGATTTATAGAGGGTAATAATTTTAATATAAAATTATTTAAAATAAATGAATTAGTTTGATCTCAGAAATAAAACAAAAGTATTAGTGGATGCTGGTTTGAGTCTTGGCTGCTTCACTGCCTATCCAGCTCCCTGCTTATGGCATGGGAAAGCAGTAGAAATTAGCCCAAATCTTTGGAACCCTGTACCAACGTGGGAGAACCAGAAGAAGCTCCTGGTTCCTGTCTTCAGATCAGTTTATCTCTGGTTATTTTGGCCATTTCGGGAGTGAACCAGAGAATGCAAGATCTGTCTGTCTGTCTCTCCTTCTTTCTGTAAACATGATCTGCTTTTCCAATAAAAGTGAATATTTTAAAAGAGGAAAAAAGACTATCAGGCAAACAGGAACAGCTGTCTCGTCTCAGATTGAAGGTTACTGGACACAAAACCATTTGTTTTAAGACACTACATTTTAGGTTGGTTTATTATAAAACTAATATAACTGAAGTGACATAGATGTGATTGATTCAACCATTCCATTTTAAGATTTGTATCCTAGGCTTAGAGAAATATGTTATATGCAGAGACATGCACAGTAACACAATTTCCTGCAATAACGAAGAAAGAAGAGCAAGGGGAGGAAAAACAAAGGGGAAAAAGGATATGAAATCAGGAAATGTGTATGAACGCGTGTTGTGTGTGTATATAAATCATTGGCATTTTTCCAACAATGGGATGCTGTGCTGCAGTTAAAATGCACATACTTCATCAACATAAGTCTCAAAAAATGTAGCATTTTGGAAAGAATTCTTTGGAGAATAAAAATAACATGTTAATCAAGTGTGAATTTGGACTAGGCAGGAAAACTTTAAGGATTCATGATGTTGTGGTACAGCAGATTAAACTGTGGGTGGCAGTTTGTGTCCTGGTTGCTCCACTTCTGATCCAGCACCCTGCTAATACCCTTGGAAAAGCAACAAAAGATGGTTCAACTGCTTGGGCCCCTGTCACCCACATGATAGAATTGGATGAATGGTCTGGCCCAGCCTCAGCCATTGCAGCTATTTAGAGAATAAACCAGCAGTTGGAATATTGACCTCTGTCTGTCTGTCTGTTTTGTAACTCTTTCAAACATTTTAAAAATATGTGTGCTAAAGCATTTAAAAACAAAGGTACATAATATCTGCACTTTACTCTGAATCAGGAGAGAGAGCAAACAACCATGAAACATTTAGGGTAATATGAGTGATGAATATAGCAGAATCATTTTCCTGTATTTGTAGTTTTCTGTAAGTCAGTGTATTCAAAGTAAGTTTTAAAACCAGTCTGACTAAAATATAGCAAGGTGCTGACATTTAAAAGATTCAAATAAAGACTTTGGTTATATTATTCTTTATATATTTGAAACATTTCAAAATGTTGTAAATAAACTGCATAAATATATATAAAGTGAAACAGGAAGAAGAAAACGTCATGTCTTATTAAATACTAAATACTGGGAAAGGGACTTGGCAACCTCAAACAACTTTGAGAGATTGATTCCTAGTGTGGTTTCTGTTCCAGTTTTGTCCCACCAAGTCATCCTCAGTTTCTGTAACATTCCACGGTGCCTCTCACTGTCAAGTGTGTGTTCTCAGGTTTTGGAATGTGATTGGAATGTGACTTTAGCTCATCTTTTGATCTGCCTTTTAGAATTCACCTTCACTCATGTCTTTCCTGATCCCCCAACCCAGACTGGATGCTCTGGCCCATGTGTCCCCACATCACCAAGTGTTTCTTCCCCAAACCGATAGCAGAGCTCACACATTATTGACCTGAGGTTCTCTTTACTTTCCTGCCGCGTCTCCCATCCTGCAGGCCTCCCAGGAGCAGGCCTGTGTTCATCAGCTGCCCCATTCCTGACTCCAGCCTCACTCTATGAGCAAAGGGTCATGCACATGTGTTCGATGATGGATGACTCAGTAATTTAAATGAAGTTAAACACTAAGCCACGGAACATAGGAATTCAAGTGTATAACTTTAGGAAAATGTATCGAATGTTTCATAATCTTGTCTCTGGATATACAACAAGGGGTGGGAAAGTGTTTGGAACAAGGGAAGTGTCCCTGTGGATTAATGCCGTCAGCATTCAGTAACATTGTAGCAAGTGCTATCAAGATTACACATGCTGACACAGTTATCATTATTTCTGAGGGGGTGCTTTTCCTGGAAGATTAAGTTCTTAAAGTATCTTAGAACTGTAAGATCCTAGAAAACAGCTGCGAAGTCCTAGAGCGATTTCAAGAACAAACTTTGGGTGCAGAAACGCGTGCAGCCTCTGAGTGTCGCTGTTGACCACCAAAGCCAGCGAGATGCCCAAAACAGCCAGATTGCTTCCACATCGCAAAGGGCTGGGGCTTTTCGGTCCGCAAACTTTGGGGCTGCAAAGAAATTTAGCCTCGCGATCTACTAGTTCTCTCCACAGTGATCTGGTCTCCCATAAATGCTGTTCATCTCAGACCCTACATCGTAAAAACCGGAATTCCGCCCTGGAGATTGAAGTTGATTCAGAGGAAAACAACACAGCAGAAAGGAAATGGCGGTTCTGCAGAAATTACCATGCAGCGCGGGGCTGGTCCCGCTGCATCTTCTTCTTGCTGTCCTATGGGTGGCCACAGCTAAGCACATCCGCTACTCGGTGCCTGAGGAGCTGGAGAAGGGCTCCCTGGTGGGCGACATCGCCAAGGACCTGGGGCTGGAGCCGCGGGAGCTGGTGGAACGCGGAGTCCGCATCGTTTCCCGAGGTAGGGCGCAGCTGTTCGCTCTGAACGCTCGCAGCGGCAGCTTGGTCACCGCAAGTAGGGTAGACCGCGAGGAGCTTTGCGCTCAGAGCCTGAGATGCCTGGTGACCCTGAACATCCTACTGGAAGATAAATTGACCATCTACTCGGTGGAGGTGGAGATAAAGGATGTGAACGACAACGCTCCTCGCTTTGGTAGCGAGGAACTAGAGATCAAAATCAGTGAAACGACTACCCCGGGTTTCCGGATTCCCCTGAAGAGCGCGCACGATGCGGACGTAGGCGAGAACACCCTACGGAAGTATGAACTCAACCAAAACGACCACTTCTCCCTGGACGTGCGCAGCGGGGCCGATGGAAACAAGTATCCGGAACTGGTGCTGGAGCGCCCTTTGGACCGGGAGCAAGAGGCCGCGCACCACCTGCTTCTGGTCGCCTCCGATGGGGGCGATCCCGTCCTTTCCGGCACTTCCCGCATTCTCGTGAATGTCCTGGACGTAAACGACAACGCGCCTGTTTTTACACAGCCGGAGTACCGTGTCAGCGTGGCGGAGAACGTCGCTGTGGGCACTCGGATACTCACGGTGTCCGCCAGAGACGCGGATGATGGATACAACGCACAGGTAGCGTATTTTCAAGAGAAAACCCCCGGAGAGACCTCACGTGTGTTTGAGCTTCAGTCGACATCCGGAGATCTAATCGTCGTTAAACGTCTGGATTATGAGGACGCTAAATTCCATGAGATTGATATTGAAGCCCAGGACGGCCCGGGGCTTGTGAGCAGAGCGAAGGTCATCGTAACGGTCCTGGACGTGAATGACAACGCTCCAGAACTGCACGTGACGTCTGCGGTTAGCTCGGTGGCCGAGGATTCCCCTCCCGGCACGGTCATCGCACTGTTCAACGTGCAGGATAGGGACTCGGGACAGAATGCGTTCGTCACATGCTCACTCCCAGAGAACCTCCCTTTCAAACTGGAGAAGTCAGTGGACGATTACCAGCGATTGGTGACGTCCGGAGCGCTTGACAGGGAACGTGTGGCCTTTTACAACATCACTCTGACCGCTCGGGACGCGGGGGACCCGCCGCTTTCCAAGGACGCGCATATTTGGCTGACAGTGGCAGACATCAACGATAACGCCCCGGCTTTCGGTCGTTTGTCCTACTCCACCTACGTACACGAAAACAACCCCAGAGGAGCCTCCATCTTCTCCATGATCGCCCAGGACCCTGACAGCGATGACAATGCCCAAGTGACTTACTCCCTAACGGAAGACACCATCCTGGGCGCTCCTCTATCTTCCTACGTGTCCATCAACTCTGACACAGGTGTCCTGTATGCACTGCGCTCCTTCGACTATGAGCAGTTCCGAGACCTGCAGCTCTGGGTGACAGCCAGTGACAGTGGGGACCCACCACTCAGCAGCAATGCCTCCCTCACAATCTTCGTGCTGGACCAGAATGACAATGCCCCTGAGATCCTCTACCCCACCCTCCCCACCGATGGATCCACAGGCGTGGAGCTGGCACCACGCTCTGCAGAACCTGGCTATCTGGTGACCAAGGTGGTGGCAGTGGACAGGGACTCTGGCCAGAATGCCTGGCTGTCCTACCGGCTGCTCAAGGCCAGCGAGCCAGGGCTGTTCTCTGTGGGGCTGCACACAGGCGAGGTGCGCACAGCACGGGCCCTGCTGGACAGAGATGCACTGAAGCAGAGCCTGGTGGTGGCCGTCCAGGACCACGGGCAGCCGCCTCTCTCGGCCACTGTCACACTCACTGTGGCCGTGGCTGACAGCATCCCCGCAGTGCTGGCTGACCTGGGCAGCCTCAAGCCTTCAGTGGAAGCTGATGAGGCAGACCTGACTCTGTACCTGGTGGTGGCAGTGGCCACAGTGTCGTGTGTCTTCCTGGCCTTTGTGATTGTGCTGCTGGCACTCAGGCTGAGGCGCTGGCACAAGTCGCGATTGCTGCAGGCGTCAGGAGGAGGCGGGCTGTCGGGCGTGGCCGCGTCGCACTTGGTGGGCGTGGACGGGGTGCGTGCTTTCCTGCAGACCTATTCTCATGAGGTGTCCCTGACCGCGGACTCGCGGAGGAGCCACCTCATCTTCCCTCAGCCCAACTATGCGGACACGCTGCTCAGCATGAGCCAGGAGAGCTGTGGGAAAAAGGATTTCCCTTCCACACCGCAGTCTCTAGTTGAAGACAAGAACGACACAATTTCTCAGGTAAATTTTCTTTTTTCCATCTGCTTATTTTGCTAAAATAAATACATTTGCCTATTTACATGGTTGCTTCCATGGTTGTATTTATCTTTATTTCCCATATTGCCTTAGAAATACATTGAATTTTTAGGAAATGAATTCTGGTAACTTATTTCTTGAGGATTTTAAATGTTCGGTGTGTACAAGTGGGACTTGATTATTTTATTTTTTGCAGTGAATGTGTAAGTCAGGAGCTGCTGGGTAAGGGGTGATCGAAATGTACATAGGGCACTGGATGAGAGCTGAACTGACTAGCTTCTTCCCCACTCCATGCAAATCATTTCATCTACCTGGACTGACAGCTGTGTCTTAGAAGTGTGAAGGTTGGGCATAATGCTTTCTCCTTGAAAATGTGGATTTTCCTTTGTATTTAAATTGTGCGTGATGGAGCCGTGCCTTCATTGGTTCATCTTTCTTAATTCAGTCTTGATGTTCTTCCTACTCTTTGGCAGTATCATTCCTCATTTTTGTTAATTTGCATGACTTTCCCTAGTATATCTCTGCAAATTTAGAAACACATAGTGTCCATATTATTTACAAAATTCTCTCTGGTGGGGGTATTGTGGCACAGAATGTGAAGTAGGTGCTTGCATTGTTGCTGTCCCTTTTCTCAGTGCTGGTTGGAGTCCCAACTGCTCCATTTTCAATCCAGCTCCCTGCTGATGTGCTGAGAACCCAGCAAAAAAATTATCCAAGTGCTTGAGTTTCTGCACCAATATGGGAGACCCAGATGGAGTCCTAGGCTCATCCTGACTTCCACCTTGTCAGACCCAGTATCATGACCACTCTGGAAAGTGGCCCATCAGATAAAAGATCTCTTTTTTGTGTCTCCCTCTCTTTATTTGTTACTCTGCCTTTCAACAATAGACAAATCTTTCAAAAATAATTATTTATATAAACGAAAAGATCATATGAGTCATGTGTTCCTTGAAGAAATCACTTATCATTTGCTCTGTATTAAACAGATTTTTTCTTCCATGTAACTAGTGCTTTTCATTTCTGGAAACCACATTGATTTGTAATATTTGGTATATATCCTCAACATGCCTGTTTAGAAGAGATACAGGGAGTCAAGATCACAGCATACAATTGCTTTAAATATCTACCTTCCTGAAGTTTTCTACTCACACAGCTTTGAAAATGGCCCAGTTGAGTGGTATCAGGTATCTGTCCTCCATTCTAGAGTCCAGAGGCATTTAGGAGGCTCGATGTGGCTCATCTCCCCTTTTCCCCCAGGTACAGGAAGGGAAAAAAAGAGAATGTGGAAATAATGGTCTCACCCACCTTCCTGCAGCCCTTGACCCTTATCACCCTAATTAATTATATAAAAAGAATCAAATAAGTAAATGAATATTTTTTTAAAAAAAGAAAAGAAAATGCCCCAGTTCTCCTCCATTCAACTTTCCTCCATTCTACTTTCTTTGTTGGATTTAGAATGTTGGTTATATATTTAATAAAACAGGGCTATGAACATACTAGCTCTCTGTATCACTGGGATAATCTTTCATTTTGACCTGAGAGTAACAGTGTGTAGTAACTGAGCTCACATTTACTGGTACTGAATCTCTCAAAGTGCCGTGATGCTTTAATTATATTCAAGCGCACCTGACAAGGAAACTTTGGTATGACACAGTACATTCAGGTGTGTCTAGTATTTACATAAATATCTATGAGGTAAAGTTGGAACTCACTCCGGAATAATATGTCATAATAGCTTTGCTTGTAAGTAAATAAATTGTGAATAGAGGAGAGCTAAAGATCGCTTTTCTGGTGTGCGTGTGAGTGTTGACTCTGAGAATAAATACAGGCATACAAGTACAGCTGTGTACTGAACTGTGACTGAAGCAAGAAACATGTTGCTTTTCATCTCTGTGTTTGGAGAGTAAAATATTTAAGCACAGGGATTCAAGGACAAAAGCAACCCGCATCTCCACTGATTTCACTGGTGGCTTTTAGAAAACATCCTCACAGCCCAGATCCAGACAAAGTGAATGTCTTTAAGGACCCCAAGTCCTGTGATTCCTCTCTCTTATCTAAGTGTTGCTGTTCATTCTGTCTCATGCCCAGGCTTCTCCCCTCATCTGATCCTCTCATGTTTCCTGGGAAATCCGTCTGCTAACCTTCAAGGCTGGGTCGGAGGCCTTCTTGTTCTCAGCTTCTCCCATTGTAATGGCTGCCACAGTTATTTTCCCGGTGAATTGTAAATACTCACGAATTCCAAGAAACCTGTGTCTGTGTGGTTCACTGTAACCCCCCAGGCAAGCAGATTGTCTGGCACCCAATTATATCTTTGTTCAAGCTGGTTAATTAATAAATATTAAACCTAAAGTGTCAGGCTCTTAAATGCAAAAATAACAAATATATCTTGGTGATTCTTAAACGGAACATTTGTATATACTAAAATACTATATGTTTGAAACAACATGGATGAAGCTATGTTTGTGCAGGACTTGACAAGCAATGTAATTTGAAGTCACTATCAATTCAGTAATGTCAAATCAACACCAGTCCCATTATCTCTGACTGGTAAGATTACAGATGCTTGGAAACTTAACCTTGCAGTTGTCTGCGAGGGTGCAGTAAATGGTGAAGCCTCTGAGCGTCGCTGTTGACCACTCAAGGCGGGGAGAAAAAAATCAGCTCTCGGAGAGCAAGTCCTCCATTTCCTTGCTCCAAAACGCCAAGAACCCGCACCTCAGCCTCAGGAGATCCGGGACCGCTCCCAAGCTCTCCCCGTAAGCCAGTCAGCGCTACGAATCAGGACCGCGAAAGCCTTAGTACATTTAGAAAAATAAGATTGAGTCCGTCGCGGAAAACTGGAACCAGTTTCAGAAAAAATAATTCACCAGGAAAGAAATGATCAATTGCCTGAGGTTCCGGAACTACTGGGGACTGGGACTGCTGTGCGCGCTCCTGGGGATGATGTGTGAGACAGGAGGAGGGCAGATCCGCTATTCCATTCCTGAGGAGCTGGAGAAGGGCTCCCTGGTGGGCGACATCGCCAAGGACCTGGGGCTGAAGCCGCGGGAGCTGGTGGAGCGCGGAGTCCGCATCGTCTCCCGAGGTAGGGCGCAGCTGTTCGCTCTGAACGCGCGCAGCGGCGGCTTGGTCACGGCGGGCAGGGTAGACCGCGAGGAGCTTTGTGCTCAGCGCGCGCGGTGCACAATCAAATTTAACATCCTGCTTGAGGATAAGTTGAAAATTTTTGACGTGGAGATAGAAATTCAAGACATTAATGATAACGCTCCGAAATTCCTAACAGAGGAAATGGAAATAAAAATTGGTGAACTAGCAGTTCCTGGCACCCGATTTCCACTTAAAACTGCCTTTGACCCCGATGTGGGCGTGAATTCCCTGCAGACCTACAGGCTCAGCTCTGATGACTATTTCTCCCTGGCGGTGAACAGCGTGTCTGATGGAGCAAAGTCTCCAGAGCTGGTTCTGGAGCGTGCTCTGGATCGTGAGAAAAAGCAGGTTCACCAGCTGGTCCTCACTGCCTCAGACGGGGGTGACCCAGTCCACTCGGGGAACCTATACATACGAGTGATTGTTCTGGATGCAAATGACAACCCACCCATGTTTACGCAGTCAGAGTACAGGGTCAGCGTTCAAGAGGATGTGCCTGTAGGTACCCAGCTCCTCACAGTCAATGCTACAGATGCTGATGAGGGATTCAACGCGCAGGTATCTTATGTTCTAGACAAAATGCCTGGGAAAATCGCTGAGGTTTTCGACCTCAATTCAGTGACTGGAGAAGTGTCCATATTAAAAAGTCTCGATTATGAGGATGAGGCATTCTATGAGATTAAAATTGAAGCACAGGATGGACCAGGTCTTCTTTCAAAGGCCAAGATTTTAGTCTCAGTTGTGGATGTCAACGACAATGCCCCGGAAGTTACAGTCACTTCTCTCTCAGGCTCAGTTCCTGAAGAAGCTCCAGCTGGAAGAGAAATTGCACTGATCCATGTGCATGACCGAGATTCTGGACACAACGGACAGGTCGAAGTTTCTGTCCTGGGAAATCTGCCCTTTGTTTTAGAAAAGCCAATAGATCAATACTACCGCTTAGTGACAGCTGCATCCCTGAATCGAGAACAGGTGCCGGAATATAACATCAGCGTGAGGGCCATGGATGGGGGACGTCCGACGCTGTCCACAGAAACTCACATCACACTGCAGGTGGTGGACATCAATGATAACCCCCCTGCATTCCCTCAACCTTCTTACTCTGCATATGTTCCCGAAAACAACCCCAGAGGAGTCTCCATCTTCTCCATGATCGCCCAGGACCCTGACAGCGATGACAATGCCCGCATCACCTATGCATTGACTGAGGACACCATCCAAGGGGCACCACTGTCCTCCTACGTGTCCATCAACTCCAACACTGGCGTCCTGTATGCACTGCGCTCCTTCGACTATGAGCAGTTCCGAGACCTGCAGCTCTGGGTGACAGCCAGTGACAGTGGGGACCCACCTCTCAGCAGCAATGCCTCCCTCACCCTCTTTGTACTGGACCAGAACGACAATGCCCCTGAGATCCTCTACCCCACCCTCCCCACCGATGGATCCACAGGCGTGGAGCTGGCACCACGCTCTGCAGAACCTGGCTATCTGGTGACCAAGGTGGTGGCAGTGGACAGGGACTCTGGCCAGAATGCCTGGCTGTCCTACCGGCTGCTCAAGGCCAGCGAGCCAGGGCTGTTCTCTGTGGGGCTGCACACGGGCGAGGTGCGCACAGCACGGGCCCTGCTGGACAGAGATGCACTCAAGCAGAGCCTGGTGGTGGCCGTCCAGGACCACGGGCAGCCGCCTCTCTCGGCCACTGTCACGCTCACAGTGGCCGTGGCTGACAGCATCCCCGCAGTGCTGGCTGACCTGGGCAGCCTCAAGCCTTCAGTGGAAGCTGATGAGGCAGACCTGACTCTGTACCTGGTGGTGGCAGTGGCCACAGTGTCGTGTGTCTTCCTGGCCTTTGTGATTGTGCTGCTGGCACTCAGGCTGAAGCGCTGGCACAAGTCGCGGTTGCTGCAGGCGTCAGGAGGAGGCGGGCTGTCGGGCGTGGCCGCGTCGCACTTGGTGGGCGTGGACGGGGTGCGTGCTTTCCTGCAGACCTATTCTCATGAGGTGTCCCTGACCGCGGACTCGCGGAGGAGCCACCTCATCTTCCCACAGCCCAACTATGCGGACACGCTGCTCAGCCAGGAGAGCTGTGGGAAAAGCGAGCCTCTCCTGGTAGCTCAGGATTTACTGGAAACCAAAGAAGACCTCAGGCTGCCTCCGGTGAGTCCTTATCTAAAGTGAGGAAGCACAGTCATGCCAATGTGATTGTTATTGAGGGTTCATGCACTTCTATTTGAAATAGGTGTAAGGAAGTCACTAATTCTTTTTTTCTAAATACTTGTTCCAGTTCCTCAGCTTCTATGGGACTGCATTTCCTGGTCAGCTTAGGCCTTAATGAGCCTGTCTTCCTGGGTCTAACCAATGAGAGTAACACCTGTCACTCTTCCCAGGATGCTCTTGTCATGGTGAGAATGTTCTGGTCTGTCTTTAAGTTACTCTTGGGAACCGTGATGCTTTTGCTAGTTTCCTGAATTAAAGATGTTGAAATAAAGGCCTGGGGTTGGACCCGCATTGGCTGTTTGCCTAGGATGAATAGACCTTTTACATTTTGGTCCTCATGAAATTAAAAATGTTGTGATAGGCCACTAGCCTATCCTGAAGGTTTTTAAACAAGCTTAATTCATATCCTTATAAATATATATTTGACGATGTGCAAGTGGGCCATACTTACCATCTCAATGACACTAATAGTTAAAAGATGAGAGAGATATTAATCAGCTTTACCTGTATGGCCTAAAGTGTTTATGTGTGTATTCATGTTGACATTAGGCTTTTGTCTGGAAGTGGAAAGGGTCATGGATTTAAACTTGGAATGGTACTTATTGTCCCTTGAGACCAGTCAAAGACCTTAGAGGGCTGTGGCTCAGTGTTGGAAGATTTCAAGACTGTGAGCTCTGACAGGAGTCCTGCTCATGTTCTACAGCTTGTATGGGTCAGCAGTTGTCAATGTACTTGGGAATTTGTGAAATTATTGTCATTCATGAAGTCATGCAAGGGTTACCCAAAATTGGACCAAAATAACATTTCATTAGTTATCTACCCAAGGAATAGATCTTTACCTCAATCTACTAAGAAAACACATATTTAAACATGCATGCAACATTGTAGGAAGAAAGTAATGGTAAACCGATACAGCTGTGTTCTCACTCAATGTATCATGAACTTAAAAGATACATAGCCTGGTGCAAGCATTTGGCACACTGAGAAGCGCACACACCATGTCAGAGTGCTTGAGTTCCAATGCAGGATCCAATGTGGTTCCAGCCCTCTGCTAACACAGTATGTGATGGCTCAAGTAGTGGGTCCATGTCACCCAATGGGATAACCAAATTGAGTTGCAGCCTCCTTTGGAAAGAGAACCAGCATGGAAACTCCTCTCTATTATTCTCTCTCTCTCTCTCCATCTTTTTTTTCCAAATACAGTAAAGGTCAATTTTTTTAGATTTCGATTTGTGTTTATTTGAAAGGCAAAGTGATAGTGGTGGAGAGGGGTTTCCATTCATTGTGCTCTTGTCCAATGACCACAACAGCTCAAGCTGGGCCAGAGAGATAATGGGCTGCAGAATCATCTTCTGGGTCTCTCACTGGATGACAGAGACCCAAACACTTGGGCCATCTTCTACTGTCCCAGGCACATTAGCAGGATGCTGAATTGGAAGCAGAGCATGTGAGCTATGGGCATTATAAGGCATAGCTTAACCCACTATGCTACAACACTGGCCCAAAATGAGTGGTTTTTTTTTTTGTTTGTTTTTTAAGATTTAGTTACTTTTTTTGGAAAGAGATATCAGAGAGGAGGAGAAACAGAAGGGAAGATCTTACGTGTACTGATTCTCTCCCCAAGTGGCTGCAATGGATGTACCTAAGCTGATCTAAAGCTAGGAACCAAGAGCTACTTCTGGGTCTCTCATGCAGGTGCAGGGTCCCAAGGCTTTGGGACATTCTCTACTGCTTTCCTAGGCCACAAGCAGAGAGCTGGATGGGAAATGGAGCAGCTGGGATATAAAGCAGCGCCTATACAGGATGCTCATGTATGCAAGGTGAAGACTTTAGTGTAGGCTACCATTTCAGGCCTTATTTGCTACTTCTAAAACCAAAACTAATGTGAACTTAGAAATAAATGGCAAAATAATACTGGATGTGTATTCTGTGGGAAAAATCCCAGAATGCATACTTTTTACTATGCTTCATTCTGACATTTGTACTCTATCTACACCACCAGACTTATTGATCAGTGATTTTACTGCTGCCACTTGTGATCCATTAATTAAACATATAGAAATATTTCTGAGTGCGCACTCTATGGAAGCCGGCATTCTACAAGCTGAGGAAACAGTCGCAAACATGCTTGGAGTTCCAAAATTGTAATTTGCTTACCTCATTTACACAGGGGTACAATCACCTATTCCATGGTGTATGTTTCTTGAAAAGAAATTGAAACGTTGATTAAGGCTGTAAGGAATCAACTTAAAGGAGGAAGCTAGTATATCCATAGCGGGAATATAGAGCTGAAAGTCTAAGTATGCCAGGCACTGCCTTCTCAGCAAAGCCTTTTCTTTCTTCTCAAATACACTCTTAGCCTTGGAGGATGACAATCCCCTACACAACATGCACCAGGACTGTGGAGGAAAAACAATGCAAACACAAACAAGGAAACATCTCTAATTGCAATAATATTTCTGTAAAAAAAACATGATAAAAATAAGTTCTGCTAAAACAGTTAAGTCATTACAAGATTTCTGCTGTTTTTACACAGGCAATGTAAGTTCCATTTTCTGACACAAAGTTATAATTTGGTGGGGGAAAAGCTGTAAAAAAGGTATACTCTAGTCACAAAATTAAACATACTGCAGTAACAAGTTAGGACTCTGAGTGTCGCTGTTCACCAAAGGAGGAAAAAGACCCAGCCAAGAATCTCAGGACAAACAAGATTTTTTTTAAAAGCAAAATTGCAGATTCTGAGGCTCTGCGGAAGCTACACTCCGAACACCCGACAGCTATGCAAAAAACATGCTGAAGGAATACTTTGTGGGACCCCGAAGATCCTAGGGCTCCGCAGCTCTGCTCCCAGGAAAGCCCAAACACAGGCTGTGCAGCAGCGAGGCTGTCATGGCGGCTCCGACTTCTTTTCAGCCAGGATGCAGCCCGCTGGTGAGGATCTGCGTTCTCCTGGTCAGCCTGTGGGGAATCGGGGCCGAAGAGATCCGCTACTCGGTGCCTGAGGAGCTGGAGAAGGGCTCCCTGGTGGGCGACATCGCCAAGGACCTGGGGCTGAAGCCGCGGGAGCTGGTAGGGCACGGAATCCGAATCATCTCCGAAGGTAGGGCGCAGCTGTTCGCTCTGGACGCGCGCAGCGGCAGCTTGGTCACGGCGGGCAGGGTAGACCGCGAGGAGCTCTGTGACAGAGCTCCAACGTGTGTGGTAAACCTGGAGATTCTCCTGGAAGACAAGGTGAGGATTATTGGCGTGAAAGTGGAGATACTTGATGTGAATGATAATGCGCCTAGCTTTGCAACAGCGCAGAGGGAAATAAAAGTTCTTGAGAATGAATCTCCAGGAACTAGATTTCCTCTTCCAGAGGCTTTTGATCCAGATGTGGGGGTGAATTCCCTACAGGGTTACCAGCTCAGTTCCAATGGTCACTTCTCCCTGGACGTGCAGAGTGGGGCAGATGGGATTAAGTATCCAGAGCTGGTGCTGGAGCATGCCCTGGATCGCGAGGAGAAGGCATCTCACCAGCTTGTCCTCACCGCCTTCGACGGAGGTGACCCGGTTCTGTCTGGCACGGTCAGCATTCATATCTCACTTATAGACAGCAATGATAACGCTCCCGTGTTCTCTCAGCCCGAGTACCACATAAGTGTTCGTGAGAACGTGCCTGTGGGCACGAGGCTCCTCACCATCAAAGCCACAGACCCGGATGAAGGAACCAATGGAGAAGTGGTTTATTCTTTCCGGAAAGTGAGGGACAAGATATCCCAGCTATTCCAGCTGGATTCTGTGAGTGGGGACCTAAAGGTCCTGGGTAAGCTAGATTATGAGGAATCTGGATTCTATGATATCGATGTTGAAGCCCACGATGGACCAGGGCTCCGAACCAGAACCAAAGTCCTGGTGACGGTCCTGGATGTGAACGACAACGCTCCCAAAGTGACAATGACCTCTCTCACCAGTTCAATCCAGGAAGCTTCTCCTCCCGGGACTGTGATTGCACTGTTCAATGTGCGTGACAGTGACTCTGGAGAGAATGGCCTTGTCACGTGTTCAGTCCCTGAAAGTCTGCCCTTTACGCTTGAAAAGGCTTATGGAAACTATCACCGGCTGCTGACACAGAGGGCGCTGGACAGGGAGGAGGTCTCAGAGTACAACATCACTGTGACTGCAACTGACCAGGGGACTCCGCCCTTGTCTACAGAAACTCACATCACACTGCAGGTGGTGGACATCAATGACAATGCGCCAGCCTTCCCTCGCACTTCCTACTCTGCCTACATTCCTGAGAACAACCCCAGAGGAGCCTCCATCTTAGGCATGACTGCCCAGGATGCCGACAGTGGAGACAATGCCCAAGTGACTTACTCCCTGGCTGAGGACACCGTGCAGGGTGTACCACTGTCCTCCTACGTGTCCATCAACTCCAACACTGGCGTCCTGTATGCACTGCGCTCCTTTGACTATGAGCAGTTCCGAGACCTGCAGCTCTGGGTGACAGCCAGTGACAGTGGGGACCCACCTCTCAGCAGCAATGCCTCCCTCACCCTCTTTGTGCTGGACCAGAATGACAATGCCCCTGAGATCCTCTACCCCACCCTCCCCACCGATGGATCCACAGGCGTGGAGCTGGCACCCCGCTCTGCAGAACCTGGCTACCTGGTGACCAAGGTGGTGGCAGTGGACAGGGACTCTGGCCAGAATGCCTGGCTGTCCTACCGGCTGCTCAAGGCCAGCGAGCCAGGGCTGTTCTCTGTGGGGCTGCACACGGGCGAGGTGCGCACAGCACGGGCCCTGCTGGACAGAGATGCACTCAAGCAGAGCCTGGTGGTGGCCGTCCAAGACCACGGGCAGCCGCCTCTCTCGGCCACTGTCACGCTCACAGTGGCCGTGGCTGACAGCATCCCCGCAGTGCTGGCTGACCTGGGCAGCCTGAAGCCTTCAGTGGAAGCTGATGAGGCAGACCTGAC